TTGGCGATAAATTCAAAAATATACAAACAGCACGCACTCCTTTTGTTCCACTACTTTTATTACTTACTAAAGTTCCTTACCCTGAGATTAGTTATTGGGGAGGGGTCTTTCACTTTAATCTGTTGAGGCAGATATTAAATTAAACTAAGCTGATTAGACAAATAAAATGCCTCCAAAACTTGGTCAATGTTTAAAGGGGAATGTGACTACTATTTCCAAAGAAACATTTATAGAGTAAGATTGTTAACGTTTCTCAAAAAGATAGGATTGTTGCAAGTGGAAGTTAATTTTTTTGAGCTACTTATTATTGTGATAGAATCATGGGAATTATGTATTCATATTTAAAACAGGCAGACCTGTTTCTGAAATGACATGCTTTGCCTTGTTGAGTTGATCTCATGCTATCAACAAACATGTGCCTAAAGTTCTAAATGTCCTTGTTCCAATGCAGAGTATGTGTCAACTTACCCATAGTTTTCCACATGACTTACGCTTGCATCAGGAGGACTTATATAAGCTCTGCTTTTATGCCACAATTCAGATATTCTTGTTGACAATCATGCTATTCACTTTTCTACAATGAGTTTGGAAATCAACATTAATTCTGATTCAAACACGTTAAACAATATCAGAATTTCAACAATTTGATTGGAGGCCTTACTCACACAGCCCACCTCAAGCATGTAGAGTGATCCTGTGACTGCATTGGCAGCATTAATTGATTAATGTATTTAAGCTGTTGATGTTGATTTGTCTGCTGGTGTCCCTGGCAGTTTCAAGATCCTGTGGATGTTCAGTTTCTGGAACACTTGCTATTTTCTCATGATTTTGACCAAGATTGATCTTTTACTCAGTCCTATTCCCTTGAATGTCTGTAGAGCAGGATTCTTAAGCCTCTACTGATCTTGTTTCTCTTTTCTCTCAGGTATATTCTGTTTTAAACTTTGAACCAATTTCTATTACACTGAAGGTATTAGTTTCATGCTAGACAATTTAATACTTGAATCCATATTTTTCTATCTTCTCCTGATACCTTTGGGCTGTTGATGATGCTTTTAGAAACTAGCAAAATATTAGTAGACTTTACACTCCACTACTTTTATTACTTACTAAAGTTCTTTACCCTGAGATTAGTTATTGTGGAGGGGTCTTTCACTTTAACCTGTTATCAGTTTCTTCCCTCAATGCTATGATTTATCTCATATTCAGATTTTGTTCTTCTACAGAATCACAAGTTATTCTCGTTCACCCGATTCTTTTAGTCAGTATCAGATATTTACAGTGCAATTTTCATTAACTGTGAGTCTCAATGATTTTTTTTTTCTATTATCATTTGGCTCTTATGTTCCTTTGACATTTTAACCTGTTATGCTGTGTTGCAAGGTGCCTGTTACTCCCCATCATTTCAGCTAAATTTTAAAGAGATTATGCCCACTGCATCCAATCATACCCTTTTGAGTGGACTGGACCTACATTAAAGCAGGCAGGCTGGGCCTTTTAGACTTTCTTATTGAGTTTCTTTTATTCTAGAATATTCTTCTTCCTGGACTTTGTGGGGTTTCTTTCAGATCATTTGTTCATCTGTGAAACTCTTAGGTTCAACAGATTGTTCAATTCAGTCTTTACTTTCACTTTCATGGTCCTCCTTTTGTTTTTACCTCCTCTTTTCAAACCTTTTTATGTACAACATCTTGATCAGGAAATTCCTGATCTTCTAAAAGAAGTATTAGAAATCACTTATCATACTTCATCAGATTTTACTTCTGTCTCTTTGAATTAAGAAAAATGCAGGAGATCAGAGACATGTCTCAGCTCTAGCTTTCCTTGGATATACCTAATTTCAAAATGAAAAACCTGAGGATGTTACAAAAGTTACTTTGTTGAGGCAATCAGATGATAAAGGAGGATATATGGGACACTTATCTTCTTATCCCCATTCATCTGTCATCTTATAATTTTATTTGTTTTTACCATTATGGATGGTTTATCAGTTCACTGCCTTTCCCTTCTGCTTGCCATTAGCTCCATATATTATATCGTTTGAGTAGTCAAAACATTTGCTGGGCTACTTCATTGCTTTGACATATTCTTTCACTTTTATCTGGATGATTGATTTATTCTGACCTTCACTTCCACTCTGTCTCTTACACTGGATTATTTGACTACCCAACTGGCATCATCTCTTGGGTGGATCATCCACATCTCTAAATTCCTTTTAGTACCAACACTGTGTTTGGTATATCTGGGATTTTGGTCCAATGTGTTTAAGAAAAACTTCAATCATCTTCTATGACATAGCAAGCCTTGAAGAACCATGTTCATACTCTTCTGTGTTTCACACCTACTGCCAAAAACATCTTTTCTGCTTTTGGGATGATGGCCTCATTTCACAAAGTCATTCCCTTAAGGTGCATTCACATATGCCATCTCTAATGGGACCTTGCTTCTCTATGGGTTCTGACTTCAAACATTTTATAATTACAGGAGTATCTCCTGTATTCCTCTTCCTTTTGACCTTTATCTTTCCATAGATTCCTCTCTCATAGGTTGGAGAGCTGTGTTTTAGGAAATCAAAACTTCTAGTTCTCAGACTCCTTAAGATACAACAGCTCACATCACCATGTTAGAGCTTTGGACTGTTCATAGTGCATGTCTCAAGTTTCTGCTTTTTCTGCAGACCAGGTATGCACTCTTTTCACTTGTTGTGTTACCTATTCTGACTGATTGTGATTTGTGTTAGAAGAATGTTTTTATGTCCTGTCAGAGCTATTCCTTGTTATTTCACTCATACCAAATATTTTAGAGGTTCATGGAAAAGGATGTTTATACCTTACAATAAATCACACTCTTCAAACTTGCAATTTTTAATTTAACAAATTGGCATGTGCAAATGATCCATTTTACGTCTTAAAAATGAACTCAGGGTTACATCTTACTAAAATTTGCCATTGGGCAATGTCTTTAGGATCCTGGTCATAGTGTCTTTAAGAAAATATTTTGCAGGCTAGAATGCAAGCAAACATGCATATGTTTTAAAATTTTAATTACGTCATTTTGCACATATACTAAAGTTAAACTTCAATATGTGTAATTGTTAAAATAGTAGACTAAATAACTATAACTTGCATGGATTCTTGCAATGAGTGAAAGTAAAATGAAAATAATCACTGTGACATCAATAGACCAAGCAGGTTGTTTCAGAATAGGTTTAATCTACTCATCACTACAACACTTTATAATGATAAGCAAAGTCCTTTTGGTGTGCCTAACCTAACTTCACTACTGTTTGTACCGGGAAATGGGGGCTATATTTATATACTTTTGCAGTAATGAGTGCATGCTGATGATCACGTGATATCAACAACCACTTGATAGTATTGCCTGACCTAATTGCCTTTGGGCCGGTCTGAGTCTAAACACGTGCACTAATTAGTTGAATTGAGAGAAAGAAGAAAAAATGGTGTGAAATTAGTAACATGTTGTGCAACTGCAGTGCTTCACTCTTGAAAAAATATGAAGTGCTGAATCTGCTGTTAAAATCCTAGAAACAAAGTTTGACTTAGGACTCAAAGAACGTAAAAATAGTTCCAGACTTCCAAGAGTCCAGAACTGTTCTATCCTTGAGTTTTATTATACACATCCCTTTTAGTCACCATGGCAACTTGGTGCCCGAAATTCGTCAAGGCCTGCCTTATGATATCAGAATCCATGCTTGAATGGATTTGTCCTGTCAGGACTGTTGCATATTACATATACCTCTGCTGCAACTGTAGACAAAATTCCACCCTGAATGCTTATGCTTCATGAGAAGGTGCTGCTTTCTGGAATTGGACAGAGGATGCATCTGGTAGCTTATGGCAGGTACCTTTACTACCTCTGTGTGCATGTCCTTGTGTATCATTTACAACAACAAGGAGACAATCTTTCTCCATATGATGTGTCATAGCTCCAACCAGGAATATTTTACTGCTTTACATTTATTAATCTTGATCTATTTCTTATTCCCATTGCACTGTTTTTGAGTACCCAAATCTTCCAAGAATAACTTGTATCTACAACTAAATGTTGAATTCCTGTCAGTTGCATTAATTCAGGTTTGAATAAAAATATTTAAGCTGAATAATGCTATGCAGTCTTACAGTGGCTAAATATCCATAAGTTTGTTTGTAAGATTGACCAAGTGCTTACTGAGTACTTATGTAGGAATTTTTTGCAAGGTTTTGTGTATTCATCTCTATTTAGTTTCTGCATGTATTGACATTACTATCCCTACATTATACTTAATTTTGTTTTTTTATCTTTATTACTTGTTTCTCCTCTCAAACAATTTCATTGAAGTAGGCTTACAAGTGAACATTTGTTTTATTTTTATAATCCAATGGTAATAGATATTGTTAATATCCTATCAGTTTTGTCAGTTTCTGTAATTTTGGATTACATTGGGGGCCAGTGAAGCTGGAATGATTTCTTCAGAATGGTACATCTACCCCAGAGTGCTGGACTGACATTGAGGGGGATAGTTACAGAACCCATGCCTTTCAACTTCACCCCAACTCACCACATGTACATACAATTGACTCCATCACCTACTAGTTATGTCAGTTAATATGGATGGAATCATAAAGATCTCAAGCCATGAAGTATGATACCATGCATACACATACACAGCTGCCAGGCTCAGGCCTACTGAAAATTTGAAGAGAAGCAGACCGCTACATAATGTATTGTTTTCATAATTAAGAAACTGGTGTTTTTAACTTAGACATCAATAACATGTACACAGATCTGTCAGTTGCATAAATACTTGATCTCCTTGATACCTTGAATAGTAATTTGATTATTCTTTCTTTTTTATTTATGTTTACTGAAATTGTTTGACAGATATCATGTTTGTGCAAGGAAAAGTCACAAATGGTTGTTATATAAGAACAATTTATGCTGCACTTTAGCAACCAGAAATGAAACTGTTATTTATAAAACATGTAAATAATATATGCTTATAAACTGAACTCACTGCTAAGTAGTAGTTTTCCTTTTTTATTATATCCACACAAAAATATGTGTTAGAAGAACAAAATAATACTGCTGTTATACAAGCTGTAAAACACTCAATAATAACAGTTAGGTGCTCAAATAAGTCTAAAACTCAACTTTAGCATTTATTTGTGAGCTTCATATAGTAATAGATTGAATGCGGAAGCCATTTTTTTCTCTACCCATCCCCACATACTAAGCACTACTGCACTTAGTAATAGGCTCCCACATGATTTTAATAACTAACATTGGCTGAGATAGACAATTTAACATAGCACTGGTCTGTATTGTACTATAAATGAAGTACTTATGAGTATAGCTAGGTGATTAACTCAATTAATCGATTACCTATGAGCATCAATTAAAACAATTAATGTAAAAAATAACCAAATAACTAAATTAGTGTTTCCAGGTATTATTGTTTTTAATTATCTAACTATCCAAGTATTACCATTATGATTTCTTATTATTATTTTCAGTTAATTCAAGATTGTTTAGTTTAATCAATTTGTGTCATGACTCATGAAAATAATCATATATAATCAAAATTAGTGTATCTAATTATTAATATTTTTTAATTATTTCAACTTTCCAAGATTTCTGTGGAAATACTTGATTAGTTGAATGTAATCAATCAGTGAACCCAGAAATTAATCGATTAGCAAATTCCACTAATTGGCTAGCTCTACTTATGATAAAGGTTGTGGCAAATGGATATTAATCATTATTATGATTATTAGCCTATATGATCACCTAAGTATAATGATTAATTAGTAACTTTTCTTTATATAACCTGGCCCAGTACGGCCAGGTGATTAGGGTGCTTGACTTGCAGTCTGAGGGTCGCGGGTTCGAATTCCTGTCTCACCAAACATGCTCGCTCTTTCAGCTGAGGAGGCATTATAATGTGACAGCCAATCCCATTATTTGTTGGTCAAAGAGTAGCCCAAGAGTTGGCAGTGGCTGATGACTAGCTGCCTTCTCTCTAGTCTTTCACTGCTAAGTTAGGGATGGCTAGTGCAGGATAGCCCTCATGTAGCTTTGTGCAAAATCCAAAACAAACCAAACTTTATATAACTAGGTACTAATTATTTACTAGTTTTAATAGAAATCACCCAAATGATATACATATGAAGTAATAGATAATATAAGCAAAACAAACCTTGCATTTGCAATGGTTTTTGGTCCATGAAACAATAAGTTTATGATAAGAAAATGACATCTTGATTTATGTTCAGAATACACTTCCTCTTACATTGGCTAGAAACAACAGTGTTGTTTTATTTAGCATGAGATGATCGCTATGGTTTTTAAGGTTAATTGGCATGAAGTACACATTAATACTGTGATCTGTTAAATCTCAAATTACAAACTTGTTTGTATACCATTTCACACCAGTGGGTCTTCATATTACATCAGATTGAGTAAATTTGTTTTTCTCCTCTGTTATAACACTCATTGTGCAGAACTGCCAAACAGTTGGGGGGGGGGGGATTTCTTTGAGAAGTACATGATAAACCCTAGCTGTAATTAGTTGGTTTAATTGCAATATTGATGGTATTTTTTGTCACACATACGTTATTAGAAATCATGTGACAAACAAAGTCATGGACCCACAAGAAATTTGTTGTATGATTTAAAAAATATATTGTTCTTGTCATTAATTATGATAGTTAATTATTGTTTCTCAAAAGTATGGCTTTCTGTTCTATGTTGTTGTTATTTTCTAATCCTTGTTTAACTAAAAACACACTATATTTGAAGTTTTAAAGTACCTTTGTAATTACATTTATTATTTCTATTTTTTAGGCTATTCTTGTACCAGGAGACAATGACATTGGAGGAGAGAAGGAACTTCCCCAACCTCAAGTAGTAGAAAGATTTAATAGTTACTTCAGGAAAGACTCGTTTATTCAGATAAAATTTGTAGATTTTTTAAAGGTAAATCGTTGGTAGTATGTGTTTATTCTGAAGAAAATTTATGTATTGAGATGAAATTGGTAGATTTTTTTAAAGATTAAAGCAATGGTAGTATATTCATGTAATCAAACAAAATTGATTGATTTTCTAATATAAAGCATTGGTAGAATGTTTTCTTTCTAAAGAAAGATTCATGTAATTAGAAATAATTGTCTCTTTCAGTAAGGATATTGCACACTGTCCTTGTAGCTCCACCTATTTTTAAAAGTTTTTTTCAAAATGTGGGTGTGTTTATGCTGATAAAATTACAAACTTGAAGTGTTTTTTATCATGTGCAACATTCCTGAAGAAAAAGAAAGCACTAATATCTGATTATTTTTTATCTATTACAGGCTAAAGTTAAAGTATATGAATTTCACTGTTAATTGGAATATATAATACATTATAAAAATACGAGTTTCTTACAAAATAAGCATCTAGTGTTTAGTTTAATTTAGTAAATACCTAGTATATATATATATATATATATATATCTGTGTGTGTGTCTGTCTGAAATCCAATAATAAAAAATACTATTTTTGTGTAACAGTCTAATTTCTGGATGTAGCATGTTTAGCGGTTTAGTTCTGATATTGTATGTGTGTGTAGTTGTTCATAATAATAAGTTTTAGATTTAGTATTTTTGTATTATGGAAACTTTCTTAGATCATTTAGGTATAACTGTATGTTTTAGATTTGCCCATGTTGCTGTGATACTTCTTTCTAAATCCTATATGCTTGTATAACTGATCAGTTTTGAGATCTTGCCTGTATTGGGCTTGTCTAGTTTTGATATTTTGCTAGTGCATTGCCCTCATGTTAGGTGAACTGATTTGCAAAATACTAATCTCCAAACATGTAGACTTTAAATATGAATTCACACATATTAAAATTTTGTTTTTATTTTCAGTTAAGTTTCTTTCTATATATTGGTATGTAAAACCTGCCCTCATAAAACACTTCCATTGTTCTCTTTTCAGGTGAATTTATTAACATCTACAAATGAGCATGTTACAGCTCCCCCCATTTTGAGTGACAGATACCGTATTGTTGTATCTCATATTCCAGTCATGGGACAGTATCATTACTTCATAAATGAAGTTAGTATCTGTATTTCACAATGTTTGTTGACTTAACTTGCATGTAGCTTTGGATTACAAGTATTCTATAATTTAGATCTGAGATTCAAATAATGCAGGATTTAACTGCTTTTAGAATTAGATAAGGTGAAATTTAGTTTTGAACAGAGATGAGTAAAGATATAATTTTTCTGTTTAAATAAAAAGGCAGTATTGCTCAGTTGTTTTAACTACAAAGCAGAGTTTAGTCTAGTAACATTAAAGTTGGATTTGATAAGATTGAATTCAGGTATAGATAAACCAAGAAATATTTAATTTGGGTATAAATATGCAATATTTAGTAAGCTTAGAAAAGTGAAGACTAATGTAGCTGGATTGGATTTACATTAGGATAAACCAAAATGTTGCTTATTTTAGACTTATACAGAGACTGAGTACATTATATTAAAATGATTTGGAGCCTCACCATGTCATTACAGTTTGTTTTGTTATGTTAGGTCATGATGTATCTCATGACTCTATGTCTTGACAGTAATTCTGCAGCATAGTTTTCATTGCAAAATTCTCTGTTATAAAGCTTTCATATCCAAAGATCACTCCTTCCTCTAGTTTTCCATAAGCCATCTAGTTCATGAGAGTAATGGTTTCCTAGCAACTGTTTCAACAATCTGATTGCATAGAATCTTACAAGCACTGCATCTGGCAACTTGACCAGAATGTCTTTGTATGGAATAGTATGAATACTCGTTTCATTCTCCAGCTGGTTGAGGCATATGATGGTTGAATGGATACATTGCGAAAGCAACTTGTGCACATGTGATTTATGTTAATTTTGCATTATGTTTTTCATTATGTTGTGTACTGTTGCATGGGTCACATAGACAGTTTTTACAACTGACCTTTGTGTTTGTGGATTTTCACTTGTCACATGATGCTGCACTTTGCTTACCAAGGCTGAGGTCTGACTTACTGCTGGTCTCTTTCTGGATGGTTTTAGTTCTCCAAGTTAATCATATTCCTTTCTTTATCACTGCTATTAAGTTCAAGAGATATTTCCATTTAGGAAATTTTGAATGCTTAATCTCCACATATCTTTATGTTCTGAATGTATGAATATTTTGCATCAGAAATGGTTGTTAATATACTTCCAAAACTAGATTAATTTTCAGTGGCATCACACTATATAAATGACACAAACAGTGCCAAAATGCAGTTTTAATACATGCCATTCCACTGTGATTATATTGACTGTGGTTGTCACATGACTTGCTGATCTGCATGTTATACTTTATTTGAACATAACATACACAACCCTCTGTATAAGTCTAAATGTTCATATGTGTGTTTTAGATACAGTAATGCAATATTTATGTACTTTTCAAAAATAAGTAAGATAAAATTAAGTTAGTGTTGAATTTAGTTAAATCACATTTAGGTTCTGTGTGAGCTAATGTTCTGGATTTAGATAAAAACAGAACTTAATTGTACCCAACTAAGTTAGTCAAAATTTATTTGGTTTTAGTGAAGAAAAGATTAATGACTTGATTTGAAGTTAGGTAAAACAAATGTTATTTGGTTTTGGAGTTTTGGAAGACAAAATTTGTTTTAACTTTACATGTAAGAAAAATTAGTTTGATTTAGGTAAGTTAAGATTTATTTGGTTTTTACGCTAGATACATGTTAGCCAAGATTTTGTTTTAGCTTTAGTATAAGGCAATGCTTGGTTTATGTAAGAAAGCATTTGTTTTGAAATTATTTAAGGTTTACGTGTATATGGCTTTTACCTTAGATAAGCCAAGATTTTGTTTATTTGAGGTCTCTATAAAGCAAGTTGTAGGTTTATATAGGAAAATATTTGTTTTGAAGTTAAGTAAGACAAGATTTGTTTTGATTCTATATGTAAGAAAATATTTAGTTATTTTTCAGTTAGATAATGCAAAATGTAGGTTTATCTAAAAATGAATTTTGAAGGATAAGTCAAGAATTTGTTGGCTTTGATTAGGTATGGCATAGTTAAGAGACATATATAACTCAAGATGAATCTGTTGTTTCTAAATGTCAAGATTGAATTTATTCTATTTTTAAGAACTAAAAATAAATATTCATGGTTTAAGCTTCTAATAGCCAGCTGAATCCTTTGTAGATTGAAATACAGTAGTTAAATGACAATTTGTTTTACTCTTAGAAGCCCTCCAGTGGCACAGCGGTATGTCTGCAGACTTACAACACTAAAAACTGGGTTTCGATACTCATGGTGGGCAGAACACAAATAGCCCATTGTGTAGCTTTGTGCATAACTTCAAACAAACAATACTCTTGGAAAATTAAAAGTTAAATCCTCAGGATATAGTTGGTTGTATTTTTTGCTTTCTAGATATAGATAAAATATTTTTATTAAGTTATATCATGTTGCATGGTTTGAACATTTCATTTAGTCAAAATTGAGTATATTGAAAAAGTTATGGTATTTAATAGAGGGAAGTTTACATTACTTTAATTGCTTTTTTCTCTTTCAGGTCATGAAAATTCATCCTAATCTAATATTATCAGCTCATGAACACATTGTGAGTGTGTGATAATTATTTATTATCAGTATACAGAATTAGTTAATTACATATAGCAGTAATTGTGACTTTTTATATGTAAATAAGCAGTTAGTCACATATTTAACTAGGTATTAAAGATAAGTACAAATTCTAGATTATTTTAAGGGACAAGTAAGTTGGAATAGATATTGCTTTCTACTTTTTTCTAGTTGTTACATTCTTCTGGGGAAATTAATTAATTATTTAGTCTATCCATGTTGGATTACTTTTACACTGAATATCAGTTTAATTCTGTTTGTTTTTTTCATTGGTAAGTCCATTAAGATTATTCATGGAACATTGTTTTGCCATTTGAAATATGTTTCATAACCAGTATAAGATGGAATTAAGCCACACTATGCTGACCAGCCACTATATTAGTGGCCACATAAATATTTGTAGAATACTTCATGTATATTTATGTCAACATATTGATCACATTATGTGTAAACAAGACGATTGCTTGAGCCCACAAATGCAGAGATTAATCATAGCATTGTTATTGTGCAAGAAAATAGTAAAGCAAAGATATCTGAATTTCAAAGAGGTATGAAAATGGGTGCTAGTACAATCGTTAACAAAGTCTGTTTCAGACTTGGTAATATCAGCAGTGGAAATCTCTCACTAGGAAAAACTGTGGTTGACTACTGCTAGTGAATGACTGAGTGAAATGATGATTGAACAGGTTTGTAAAGTATAACAGATGTTACACTGTGTCCTAATTTGTCTTTTTCTTTCTGGTGACATGATCATGACTAAACTATTCTGAATCCTACCATGCAAAAGGCACAACAGAAACTGGTATTTTACAACTAAGAAATATTCTGAAAAAACATCTTTTATATATATTTTCAGTGGTGCTTAGAGAGCAAACTGTGATAGTGAATGATTGATATGTATGATGTGGTCTGATGAGTTTTGTTTCATCATTTTCTGAATTAATGCTAAACATGATGAAAACTACATGTGGTGCTTTATCCTGCTTGTGTTGTTACACCAGTGCCAGCAGCTGGAGTTGCGAAACATTCTTATGATAAGGCTTGGGCCTCTTAATAACCATAGAATGCTGAATAACATGCGTGTTGAATCTGATTGTCACTCACAATAACATTTACTCTACAATGTTACATTTTATCTTATTGGACATAAGATTTTTTTTAAAAAAACCTAATACATTTCTATATGATGAAATTTAGTTGAATGGATGCCAACTGCTAATTGTAGAAACTCAAGTATAGAGGACAACAGTTCAAAACTCTTCCGCCTTTCGTCTTCAAGTCAGTGTATGTGTGTGGTGTTGTTGGTCTTTATAGTATTCTGATGGATCAAAATTTTGTTCTCTATACTTGTTTTTCTACAACAGGCAGTTGCTGTCTATTCAACTAAATTACATCATGGATACTCTGTCTAAACAATCTATCACAGAATACATAATTTCTATAATTTGTTTTTACTAGTACATCAACTGGGACTCAGCCTGGTTCATCATCTTGAATAACATAAATATTGCATTTACATTTGTGTTCTTCCTATGTCTGTAATCAAGTTGCAGACCACATTTCTAAATGAATGTGCTACATATGAACAAAACGTGTTCTTATATTTTGTGAAATTTATATTACATCATGTACAGACTATACTTTGGCATTAGGTAGTATAATCTATTATTATATAGGGGGTCTTAATAGGAAGTATATTTCATTGAAGAAGAATTACAATGAAATGTTAAACTGCATTTTTTAAAGTAAGGATTTCTTTTTAAGCTAGCAACATATGAAATATTTTATCAAATAGATTTTGCTTATGCTGTTTACACAATAAAAAGTTAACTGATATGTGTTGAAGTAACAAAATTCATGTTGTCAAAAACTTGTTAGAGCAACACAATGTGACAGTTGTGATTTAACTATTTTCAGGGGGTCATTTCTTTCTCTCTACCTATGGTTTTAAACTATTTTTCTACTAGCTGGAATATCCATACCCTGGATGGAAGTTGTGTAAATTCATGATTAATGAAAGGTTATCTTAGGACATGAAAAGTTGCTTCCCTTATATGTAATTGTAAAAAACTGCAAAAATGGCAAATTTGTATGTACCCTCACATGGACCTAATAAACTTCCATACCAATTTTTGTGAAGATCCATCCACACCCTGCGAAGTAGTTACGTGAACATACAACACACAGTACTATTATATTTATATAGATTTAAACAAAGTTTCTCATAGCCTAAATAAATTATTTTTTTCTGATAATGTTTTTAACATAACTAACAGTAGCAAAACTGTTTCTCACAAATTTTTTTGTTTTGACTTTTTTAAAAAGCCTTTTTTTTTAAATAATTTACAGTTATGAATATTTCAAGTAGGATAACTTATATTTATCATAATGTTTTAATTATTAACCTGGCTCTGTGCTTAGATATAGACATCATTTAAAAATTGACACAGATGAGACAAGTAATGTGATTAGTTACATCTTTTAACCCTATGTGCAAAGGTGGAGGCTATAATACACAAGGTTTGACCTTTTTCAGAGTGCCATTCAACACAGTATTATGTATTTGTCAGAATTATCATCTATTATTTTTACCATACATTGCTCACTTGTGACATTTCGTGGTAGAGGAAAGTAAACACAAAATACAATGTACAGGGATATACTGAAAGAATTGTAGATATCCATTTTGGAGGTTTTTAGAGGTTATTTAAATATAATATGTAAACTATAAGGTGAACAAAAGAATTTTTAATTTTCACATGAACATCACCTTGCACTCCTACTTGTTAGTCTGAGTCAGACTGACATTGTTAATTTGCAGAATATCTTGTAACCTTTGTAACTTATCTGGTTTTTGTGTATAACAGATTTGTACATTTTACTAAAAGCTTGCCATATTTCATATAGATAAAGTAACTTGGAATTAAAATTAAATCCCTTCTCTATTACAGTATCAGTATAATCTTAAGTTCAATCAGCTTCAGCTAAGTGCATTTTCTACATTATATTATTACTTTTTTATATCTGAGGTATCTATAGGCCAGAAAATATTTTTCTGTAATGATTTTGCTATTTTAGTAGTTTTGGTTGTTTTTAAGTGGCAAGGGATATATTTATGCAAATAACTACTCCTCAATGGCTGAACAATAAGTTTGAGGGCTTATAATGCAAAAAAATGGGGGTTCAATCCCTACATTTGTCATAATGCAGACAACCCATTGTGTAGTGTTGTGCTTAATAACAAAACAAGATATAACCTTTATCAAACCTCTCATCAGTCATGGATAATTTACTATGGCATTTATTTATGCTTTTCAGCTTTCTCTTGCTGTTTGGCCTATTTTTCAAGAAGCCATGTGTCAAACATAATTGCTGTGAATGTCTGGCTAATGAAACTTGCAGAAATAATTTTTGAACTTAAACAAAAAACATGAAAAAGTAGGATGTCAGAGAAGCATTCAGTCAGTGAAGGTCACATCTGCCATATAGAATTTTTGTAAATGTTTTAGTTATGAACTTTATTATTGTTTGTTAGAATGTTTTCCATTCAAGTCATGGATGAAACACTAACTTTTTCAATGTTTATTTGCTGCAAGCTTCATTTACTAACTACAACAAATATTTTCATTATGCAACCACACTGAAATTGGTCACTTTCTTCTTTGTCATTCCTAACTAAATGAGATTTTGTGAAAAATCTGTTTTTCTCGCGTCTGACTCACTTTCATTGATCTTGGAAAACAAGCTTTTGTTAAATATATATATATACATTTTCAAATATGAACAGTTACAGATTGTATTTTCAGATTTGTATTAAAGTATATCTATTTCATTGTGGGTTTTGATAAACATTATGATTTTGTGGGAATAATACCAAAAATAGCTGAAATTATTTTTCTTGCATGATAAGTTAACTTCTCACTTTTTCAAATGGATTACATTAATGATTCAGGAACTCTTTTTATTCCAATCTATGAGTGGATTGAATGGCTTTTGCATTCAATTTTCTATGTATCACGTAGTAGAATTTTACTTGCATAAGTTTTTGCTTCATTCTTCCACATTATATCATTCAATTGTTAATGAGCTGTTTAAGTTGATGTTCTTGGAATTTTCAGTGTATCTGATGAAATAAGGCATTTAAGTCAAGAATATTCCCAAGAACAAAGAACTTCTTGAGAATATTCTTTAGTGACTCAGAATATGATAATTTTTTAATTCTTTTTGCTTTTACTTATTGTGAGACTTCTTTAAAAGGGTAAATACGACTGTTTTAAGGACATTTATGACTTGAAAAAAAGGTAGTTGAAATGATGTGCATTTTCTTTTAAAACTTGCAAGAAAAAGTTTTCCCTTTGAAATTGAAGTTTTTTTTTATCAATCAAACACCCATGTTACATAATGAATAAGACAGTTTGCCTAAAATATATAAATATATATTCATTTCAAAAATAACTTACAAATTCTACTTCTTCCTTGCACAGTTTTCTAATTTGAACTAGTGTGTAGAGAAGGATTTGACCTTTTGGAAAAAAAAATTATAATTTGGCTATTCTATCCTTCTTCAAGGTGGCTGTGATCTGTTATGATGGCTGATATAATAGATCTGCAACTTTGTATTTAGAAAGTTTTCTGTTAACCCTCTTAGCATAGGTTGGTCAAAATGCATACAACATTGTGACTTCAAACAAAGAAATCTTACTTGTGGTGGGAAAGTTGAGCTTATTGTAATTCATCTAGCACTTGCACAGTAAGTCACATAGAAGTGGAGAACTATGGGTAACTTGACATGTGTAATGTATTGTGTTAAGGCCACTCAGAACCATAAGTGACATGATTGTTGACAGAGAAAGTGAGAGAATGGATAAACAAAAAAACACTTGCAATGTTTCTGAGATAAGAACTTGCTTGCAATTCATTTTTGTTCTAGAACTTACATAACATAAACCAAGTGTTGCCCTTATTTAAAACTGCCTGTGT